TGGGGCAGAGCCAAACTCCCGTGGCGTGGCATTGGGGTGGGGGGGAAGGGGTTTGGGTGTTCTCCCGTGCCTTAATTCCAGGGAGGTTTTCTCCTGGGTGCTCCCATTAATGCTCAGGGGGGGTTGTTGTTGTGTGTGTGTGTGTTCTTGTTTTTGCTTCCCTGTTTGTTTCTGCCCAAGGTGAGGAGTGTGAGGCGATGCCGACCCCGGTGGGCTCGGGAGATGCAACGGCCTGGCAGCACTTTTTTACTGCTCCCTCCCAGCTCCTGCTGCACTTTGCCCTGTTTTGAAATGGAGGTGTTTTTGTCCAGGTTGGGGGTTGTGTGTCTTTTTTTGTGTGTTTTTTTTTGTTGTTAACTCCTTTGTGCCTTCCTCCCCCCCACCATGGCAGGAGCTCACAATGACAGAGGAAACATGCAGGACTCGGAGTCAGAAACGAGCCTTGGAGCGGGACGTGACCCCCAACGATGTGGACAGTAAGAAACTCAAAATGGAGAAGGGACTGTTGGCGACAGCAGAGCTGAACTCTGAGGGGGACATGAAGATCAAGGCAGAGCCCGGGGCTGGCAAAGTGCAGGGACTGTTGAAGGGAGGAGAGGTGAAGGCGACCATCAAGGTGGAGGTTCAGACTGGGGACGAGCCTGTGGACATGAGCACCTCCAAAAGGTGAGTCCCCACCTCCCTGCTGCCCTGGGACACCCGGGAAAGGCCATGGGGATGCTGCAGTTGGAAGGGAGCTGGGAGCTCATCCCGTCCCTCCATCCCCTGCCACGGGCACTGGAATGGGGTCGGTGGCCCCGGCAAGGAGTTGAAGAGAATTCAACCAGGATGTGGGTGTGCAGCTCTGGATCTTCTCCTGAGATCCAGCAGCTCCTTCCTGGCTTTGCTTTGGCAGCCGAGGAAAGGAATGTGGGCTTAAATAAGCTCACAAGTCCTAAAGAGAATCCTGGAATGGTTTGGGTGGGAAGGACCTTCAAGCTCATCCCATCCCACCCTCTGCCACGGGCAGGAACACCTTCCCCTATCCCAGGCCGCTCCAAGCCCTGCCCAGCCTGGCCTTGGAGAGGGTTTGCTTTGAGCTCCTGGTGGAGATTCCGGTGTGGAAGAGGGGTCTGGGTGTTGGGAATTGATCTGGGGGAACAACAGGATGTAACTGTACCGAGCAGAGGAGATGGAGCTGCGGTGGGATCCTTCCTGAGGGGATGGGAAAAGGGGAGTTGTTGGGCTGGGAGCAGCTGGGGATGCTGTGGGCAGGTCCCTGGTGCTGTGTTTGAAGAGCCTCCTGGAGGTGCCTGAATTCTGACCTTGGAGCTGTTGCTCCAGGTCACTGCCCTGCTCCCAGCCCCTCAGTGCCTGCTGTGGGGGCTTTCCCACCTCCCCCAGTGCTTTTTCCTTGGAAAAACTGGCCCAGCAATAATCCCAGGGCGCCAAGGGAGCAGGGCACAGCTCTGAGATCAGGTGATTTTTCAGGATCTGGAGGGACAAATGTGCCTGAAACTGGAAAAAATGTATTTTTTTTAATTATTATTTTTTGGGTTTTTTTTTTTTTTTTTCCCCCCTAAACCTTGAAGTGAAATTTAAAAGCAGGGCTTGGTTTGGGTGCAGTGGCTGTGCCAGGGCAGGCAGAGGGAGGTCGGTGGTGCTGGAAGGCTCTGCCCAGGGGGTCACACGAGGCCAAACCAAGCCCCAGGGCCTGGCGGTTTTGGGAGCTGCTCTCAGTTATCCCAAACCCTCTGGAGGAAGGGATGGGGGGAAGGAGAGTCTGCTCCCCGTGGATAAGGACGTGGCAGGCAGAGCAATGCCCCAAAACTCCCTCTGCCTGTGGGTTCCCGGATCCCTGTTTCCCAGGATCGGTCCAGTGAATACTGGAATTATCTGATATGTGTCAGCAGTGCCTTGGTCCAAACCGGTCGAGGCTTGGCCATTTAAATTATTCCC